TTCAGCAGCAGAAACAGTCTGATGTTACTTTAAAGTGTTTTATGTGACATATTCAGAGTAGTTTCATCATTGTGCAACTAAAGAGCAAAAAATACTCTATATTAACGTCACATACAGTATGTCCAAATGATACCTACACGTATTTAAAGTCTCAGCCGACGGTGACTTTATGGATAGTATTTCCAATATTTCTACATTTCCATTATAAGGTCACAGGGTATCATTTACATTCCACGCCACTAACATTTTACTGTTTTACAGTCGCAGACACCTTCAGTACTGTTTCATCTCATATGATATGAAGCAGCCTCCTTTATTAATGGTTCTGATGATGTTGCTTGTAATTAACGCCCCCGCCTCTCTCACATGAACGCGCTCGTGGCTGGATAGGAAAACCCAGAGTTGACTGAACTAGTTGATGACCAGCTTTGTAGTACCGGTTATCCAGACGGCCAATGTGACGGGTTAGTCAAGCTAGATAACGGAAGATATCCTTGGTAAGTTGAACTGGCTTCGTAGTACAGGCCTCTGGTCCTTGTCCATGAAGTACACCATAGGCCCGTTTCCACTGAAGAAGTTCCTGGTACTGTTTGGGGGGCAAGAACGTCCTCTCGCTCGGCCCTCTCAACTGCTGTGTCTCCACTGAGAGAGCGGAATAGGAGGAAGATTCCTGTAAAGTTACCGGGCTCTGGATGTGACGTAATCGTTGCGCGACCATTTTGACCGGGGCGACGTAGGAGAGTAGGGACGTAGTTAGCTGTTAGCCGTTAGCGGTGTCTGTATTAACGCAATAAATGGTCCGTGAAAAAAATATTTTTTCCAGCGGATGTCTTAGTTACAACATGATTGAGCTAACTGGAGTAGTTTCATGTCGTATCCGACAACGGGAGGCTTTTAACAGATGACGTCCTGATGTTAGCTTTGCTGCTGCTGTTAGCTGTCCCTGTCAGCTGCAGCCACTGATGCTTTCTAGACATCGTGATTTCCCAAAACTGAATAAATACCACGCATAGCAACACAAAACTGCTTTGCTAGCTCAATCATGTTGTAACATATGTAACATGTATATCCACTGGAAAAAATATTTTTTTCACGGACCGTAGATTGAGTTTAGGGCTGCCATGATTAGTCGACTAATCGATGACTAATCGACTATTAAAATAATCGGTGACTATTTTAGAAGTCGACTAATCGGTTTGAGTCATTTTTCATAGAAAAGTATTATAAAAGTACCCCAAAATACTCTTATTGCAGCTTCTTAGTTAAGATATTGGCAGTTTTACACACTCTCCCATGATGGTGAACTAAAACCCTTTGGCGTGAGTACGAAACAAGACATTAGATGATGTAATTTTGGGGTTTGGGCGAGACAGACCAACATTTTCCAAAATTTTAACACATTTTTCGATAAAATGATTAGTCAACTAATCGGAGAAATAATCGACAGATTAGTCGACAATGAAAATAATCGTTAGTGGCAGCCCTAATTGAGTTACTGAGTTATTACAGACACTGCTAATGGCTAACAGCTAACGGTTAGCCCAGCTAATCTATAATAACCATAGTAATTACAAAATGTCACATCCCGCCTTGAGTATATCCAATCAGCACCAAGTAATCCCCAAGCCCCAGCCAGGAGTCTCTCGGGCCATTCTGAGTACCTACTCCGAGGCAGGGACTTGTTTAGCCCCTGTAAAAGTTCCGGAACTCTGTCCTTCGGGGGTGGTTCCTGCGGTGGAGACACGCACCAACGGCCCCGGCCCCGTAAAATTACCCTGAAGTTCCTGCGGTGGAAACGGGCCTCATGTTGTGTCTACAGTTACCCAGCATGGACAAACCAAACACTGGATCTTGATAGGGCCATTTGTGTTTTCACGTCAGCCACCATAGTTAGCAGCCCCTCTGTAACAAGCGGCATCAGAAAAACACTGACTTTCTTTAATGTGAGGGCGTATAAGGTTTACATTTTTGTTTTGTACCCCTTTCATTCCACCCCAGGTGTCAGTGTGTATCCCGGTACTGCGACTGTCCCGTCGCAGGAAGAAGGTTTTGTTTTACTGTCACTTCCCAGACCAGCTGCTGACCCAGAGGAAGTCGGCCCTGAAGAAGCTTTATCGTGCTCCCATCGACTGGCTGGAGGAACGTACCACTGGCATGGCTGATATGGTACGTAACGGCTGAGGACTGAAGGCTGCATTGTTCTGTCGGGTGTGATGGTCTGATTGCAGGGCAGGACTGTGTCACTGTTATAATTTTGTTTTATCCGGAAGGAAAAGCTAATTAATATAGCATGGTGGTAGAAAATGATGTAAAGAAAATACACATAAATACAGTAAAAAAATACCAGACATGTCATATATAAAGTTATATATTAATGAAACAAACTGAAGTAGTTGTATGTGATTTTCAGAAGATGCTTATGATGTGACCTGAGGGTTTTAACGACCCTCATAGAACATCCTGTGTCAATTTGTTCACAGATTTTGGGAATGGCCAGATTTCAGGCTGAGTCTAAAGGAGACTCTTCCTCCTCTTCATTTCCTAAGTGAATTAAAGGTCCAGTGTGTAGGATTGAGGGGGATATATTAGTATTTTCTTTAGTGTTTGATCACCTGAAAGTTTTTGTTACCTTTAGAATAAGCCATTTATATCTACAGAGGGGACAGGTACAGAGGAAGAGACCTCTGTTGATGATTCAGCTCCCAGTACAAACCCCTTAAACTATGAACACTTAAGGAATCCTCAGCAGGAGTTCACACTTGGCTGGTTTCAGCTGGTTACAATCTGCAACCCTCACTGCTAGATGCCGCTAAACTCTATACACTACTCCTGAATATAATGAAAATAAACAAATCCCCATTTTTCTGGGGTTTATAGCAACATAGGTATAGATCATGCATAGGATTAACTATATATTTACCTGTTAAAGGCTTCCTTCAAGGAGAAAAAAACAGTAAAGAGAAGTGAAGTTTCACCTCCTGACTGAGTTTGGCTTTTGATGCTGCTGAAACTACTATGTAATAGAATAAATCAAAATATAAGGTGTATTAATTTTAACAGCTTGTACAAACTAAAGTGATTATTTAAAATGCGATACAGCCTGATCTCTGCAGGCAAGCTGACGTAAAAGCTCAGGGCTCTGGTAGAAAAGAAAATGACATTTCGATTTTAGTCTAGACTTTAGGATAACCAAAGACCGCGGGCTGTCATCCTACTCATAGCAAATTAAAATGCCTGCTCCATATGTGAGATCCTTACAAACTAATCTCTCTGTACTTCCTCTTAGATTGTGGTAAACAGCCAGTTCACCGCAGGCATCTTCAGAGAGACCTTTCGTGGTCTAACAGGAGTCCAGACAGACGTCCTCTATCCTTCCCTCAACACGGGTACCTTTGACCAGCAGTCCAGTGAAGCACAGGGCCTGGAAGGGCTGCTCCCTGAGGGAACCTCCTGCCTGTTTCTTTCTCTCAACCGATATGAGAGGAAGAAGAATCTGGGGCTGGCTCTGGAGGCTCTCGCAGTCCTGAGGAGCAGCCTTCCTCCTGGCCAGAGAGCAGGTATTCACCTGGTGGTGGCGGGGGGCTACGATGACCGAGTTACTGAGAATGTTCAACATTATACTGAGCTCAAAGAGCTAGCAGCGCAGATCCACATAGAGGACTGTGTCACTTTCCTGCGCTCCCCCTCTGACTCACTGAAGGTGGTCCTGCTGCGGGGCAGCGCAGCCGTGCTCTACACCCCGAGCAGAGAGCATTTTGGGATAGTTCCCGTAGAGGCAATGTACTGCTGCTGCCCTGTTATCGCGGTGAACTCCGGGGGCCCCCTGGAGAGCGTGGCAGATGGGGAGACGGGCTTCCTGTGCGAGCCCACGGCAGACGCCTTCTCTAAGGCCATGGAGAGGCTCGTGAAGGAACCGCAGCTCCGCAGGGACATGGGACAAGCTGGGAGGAGGAGGGTACAAGATAAATTCTCTCTTCAGGCCTTCTCAGACCAGCTGTATGGGTACATTGTCAGGCTAAGCGAGTGATGTGAAAGCTGGAGGAGGCAGGTGGAAAAATGACCCTCTACCAAACTGTGGATTGTCTGTGGACGACTGGGGACCGCAGTGTGTGTGCAGGGAGGCAGTGGGGGTGTTATGAGGACTCAGAGGACAATCAATCAGCATTCCCCTGGAGGGGTTGCTGAGAGGAAAAAAAGGACGGAATCTCTATACCAATTAAGAAAAGAGTAACGAGTTTACATACCCTATCTCTGGAAAAATACCACACCTGCAAGTGTGTATGTGTGTGTGTGCGTGTGTGTGTGTGTGTGTGTGTGTGTGTAGCAACGCTGCAACCCAGAGCCTAGCAAATGAGCGCACCAAAAGGATTGATTGTTAGAGTGAAATGTTTTGCACTGTCTATTTTTTTTTTCTGTTACTTTGCGACAGTAATCTTTGTCTTTGTGTGTTTTCGGAATGAAGAAGAAGAATGTAGTTACCACCATGTGCTGGTGCACAGTCGCAGATCGATAAACAGGAGGCTTTCCACTACTTCCTGTCCACCCAGAGCTTTGTTCCCCTCCTCTCATTCAGAAGACGCTGGCCTGTTCATGACTCTTGCGGCAGTGTGGAGGTTATTAGTAGATGATAGAGAGTGTTTGGCTTTAATAGAGGTCTGGTTGATGGGCAGTGTGGCTTTGTCTGGGTCATTATCAACGAGGAGAATAGCAGAAGGTCATTGTGTCTGCGCGCTGGCCTCCTCAGCCCTCCTACTGTATAGAAATGCTCTTATTGACATTCCTGAAGTCTTAATAAACAAGAGGACACATACTTTCCTGACTCTTGTGGGGTTTGCTTTGTTGCTAAGTTTTTTTGGCCTTTAATAGACTTTGGTAAGGATTTACTGGGTGAGTGTTGAGGCACGGAAACGTTGTTAATGTTGTGCCATCTTTGTTGTTCTTTTTCATTGAACAGCTTTGATTTTGCCTTGAGTTGTGAAATGAAACATTCTCAGACAATGTAGCAGCAAAGAAGTTTTATTTTTGCTTATTAACAAAGTCAGTGTGACCCATGTACGCAAGAGGCACCGTAGAAGATCTTAAGTTTCTGTCTCCATCCGTTGTGTCATTATCATTTGCAGAGTTTGAGTTGTATCCCCATTCTTTTTCTGGAAAGGAATCTGAAAAAGAGTAAATTAATAAATGAATAAATACATGAATAAATGAATAATAGGAATGTTAAATTACCAATTAGCTTTAGCCTCCTGAGACCCTGTGTCCTCATGAGGACATTACAGTTTGGGAGTACTGGACTTTATGGTTCATTCTGTGTTACTTCGGCCTGTTGTCCTCATTCCTGGACACTTTTTTGTGCAATTTAGTGGCAGTAAGACCTAGGGCTGTCCTCGACTAAGAAGTTTCCTCATTTATGGCCATTAGTCGACAAGTCGCCGGCACGTTTACTATATTAATTTAATTATTAAATTATATATTTTAGGCAGGGCAACACAATGGTTTGAGTTGAAGGTGTGAGAAAGAATAGTATCAGTAACATTGTTAACACTGTGCTACATTACAGAGAAATACAAAACCGTACTAATGAACCTTCATTAATATAGGCCTATATTTTATCTACAAGTGCACGTCACACACTGAGCGAGCCGCCTGTTAATGACGCTGTGGGCTAATGGGCATGTAGCTACTTCCATGTTTCAGATGATACGTCATGTTTGTAGTTGACCAATGAAGATGAGTTTACATATCACCTTGGGTTCGTCCTTCACCTTCTCAAAATGATCCCACACTTTGGATTTCCTGCCCTACATGTTATTAACTAGCCTGTGGAATAACTGCAGGTACCAGCCCTGGAAATTAGAGGCTGTACACATGCCGTGTCTTTACCACCTGGAAAACTGTGCTACTCTTGTGTTTTTTTTGTGCCAACTATCAAGAGCGCGGCAGCAGGTTGCGTCTGAGGTTGCTAAACAACCATAACAAGCACCGTATCATAACCTATTTACCTGAAAGTGCAGAGCTGATCTTCTTCCAGGAGCTGTTCATAAGTGTGTAGACCTGTCATCTGTGGGACAGATGTAAAGCTCTGGGTAGTCCTGCACTAACATGATCAACTGTTCCATATTTATCAGACTGGATATTTACAGAAGAAGAGAAAGATATCTGTCAGCTGTGATTGGTTTGTAACATGACTCCTGTCTGACTGCTGAGCGTGGTCTCTTCCTGTGTCTGTTTTTATTTTATTTTTTTTAAATCTGCAACTAAGCGACGAATGAAATCTTGCCAACTAATTACCTTTCTGGTCGACTAATGTTTGGTCGACTTTTAGGGGGCAGCCCTAGTCAGAGCACAATACACTAATCTATGTGAAAACAAGATGGCAGCCATCTCTGCCAAGTCAGTCTGCAGCTGACCTCGACCCAAAAGTGGACAAGGTCCAAAACCTGATCAAATTTAATGGTTGAAACTTGTTTTTATACCAATACCAATCAAAAGTTCGGGTCTCAGGAGGATAGATGCGATATTTACCACACATTGGGCCTCATACAGCAACATACTCTGAAGTTTCCCAGTTATTTTTCTCTTAATTTTCTGTTAAGACAAAAAAATAAGGGCCCAACTCCAGATGCTCCAAACGTCTTACCATCCAAATCTGTTCTTACCCAGGTGTGCTGAATGATGAACCCCACTTGACCGTAAGTAACCTATCAGCATAGGTAATGATGCCTAAACACTATATAAGGGTAGCTGTTGTGCCGCATGCAAGGACTCTGGCACGTGGCCAAGAACTGAAGAGACACCTCCAAACAAAGGCTGTAACAAGAAGAACTTCTGCAGCAGTGAAATCAATGCACTGTTAAACAAAGTAAACATGATTTTCCAGCGTCTCAGTACTGGTTTTACAGGAAAACCAAAAACCCAGCAATAGCAATAGATTTGTGAAGCTCTAAATGCCACGGTAAAGGAAGTATTCAGATCCTTTACTTAATACTTTGTTATTAGTAAAAGTCCTGTGTTGAAAATATGACTTAAGATTAAGTATGTAAATACAATCAGGGAATCCTAAGTGCTATGTCATTGTTGTCTTATGTCAACTGGACTTGCTTGAGTTCCTTGAAGACGTTTCACCTCTCATCCAAGAGGCTTCCCCAGCTGTAACTCTGGACTGGTGCGGAGTCACAGGCTTTAAACCCTTACAGAGTTGTTAAGGTAATATGTTCTCTGAGTTTCAGAGTTGTTCCAGCTTTAGAGATGTTGTTTTGTACTATCAGGGAGATGTATCCAAATATAAAAAGTAAAAGTACTCAGTGCTGAAACATTTAAATCAATTTCATCAATCAAAATAATTAAAAAGGAAAAGTATTAAAGGGATAGTGCACCCAAAAATGAAAATTTAGCCATTATCTACTCAGCCATATGCCGAAGGAGGCTCAGGTGAGGAGAGAGGAGGTAGCAACACAACTCCACCTAATGGAGGCTGACAGCGCCCCAGATTCAAATGTCCAAAAACACATAATTGAAACTACAAAATATCTCCATACTGCTCGTCTGTTGTGATCCAAGTGTCCTGAAGCCCCGACATAAAAAGTTGTTTGGAAAAACGTCATTTGAACTCTGTTTTTAGCCTCATTGTAGCCTGTAGCTCTAACTGCCTCTCTGTGCACTGCGAGATATTTTGTGGTTTCAATTATGTATTTTTTGGACGTTTTAATCTGGGGCTCCATAAGCCTCCATTAGGTGGAGTTGTGTTGCTACCCCCTCTCCCCTTGGATCTCCGCAAGTGATGTGAGGACTTCACCTGATCCTCCCTCGGCATATGGGTGAGTAGATAATGGCTGAATTTTCATTTTTGGGTGCACTATCCTTTTAAGGCCTCATATTTGAGACGCTGGAACCATGAAATGTTTGTGCATGAAAAACAATCTAAATGATTATCAGGATAGTTGCTAATTGATTTTCCAATCGATTAACTAATTGTTTCATCTGTGATTGTAGATTTTCATGGTTTGTGTGCAAAAATCTTAATTTGAAAAGTAACTAGGAAATAAAGTTAGCAAATAATTGCAGTGGAGGTAAAGGACAATATTTCCCTTAAGTGTAGTGGAGAGAAGTAGAAAGTACCTCCAATTTCTTATTAAGTACGGAATTTGAGTAATGTACTTCCAGCACTGGTCAGCAGATGCACGGTAATTGAAATTAAAAGAAATTGGGATCAATGGATTTTATGATTTTCATACATTGTTTTATGTTCTTTAAACTTAAAACTTGTGTTTCCTTATGTTGGGCAACAATTTGTGAACTGTGAAAATGAGATGTTTTCTCCTGTCTTGGTAAGAGTGCTAACGAGCACTATTTAAATATTGGTGAATCCCAGAAATCAGTGGATACAAACAAAAATACTGTAAAACCTCAATTAAACACCCAGTCCCTTTTACTAGCCCGGTGTGGCCCTGTCCCAAATATAGGCCTGTTGATTTCAGTGATTTAAGCAAATATTAGCCCGGGCTACTAATTGAAGTTTAATGGTAAGATGATTTGTTGCTGTCCTGCATGAGACCCATTCTCTTTCAGGTGTCGTTGAACCAACCTGGTTGCAGACAGCGTTGCCATATCGAACAAACGTGGCGAAGTGCTCGCTGTTGAAGTTCAGCAGGTCGTAGTTGAACTCCTGGTGCAGAAAAGTCTCGCAGCGATTCTGCATCATTTCCTGCGGAGACGGAACCAGGTTGTGCTTGTTGTTGTTGACCCTGATGCGAGTTCCTGGAGGAACTTTGATTTCCGTAATGAGCTGTGTGCAGATCCTGGTCTTCCTCAGAACACGCTCACCTTTCGACTTTGGAACTATTTGCTGGAGGAAGCTGCGGCAGGCTCTCTGTGTCATGTTCTCATCTTACAATCACGGGGAGACACATAAAGAAAGTGTTTGAAAATAAACAATTCAATCAAATAAACCTGGTATAAGTGTTTAAGTTTAAGTGTGTATGCATACAGCAGCTTCTTACCTCCCACTCCAAAATGGATAACACGGCCGTCTCCAACATAAACACCCCAAAGAGACAATCCTGACCACGGGTGTGCAAACTCAATCATGTCTCCAATCTCTGCTGTGGACACACTTGGATCAACCTAAAAGAAACAAGTGCAAAGTTTGAGCAGCGCTGGGAGTCCACACTCTGAAAAAAAAAATCCACTGGTTCAACTTAAAGAAATTAAGGGAACAATTTGCATGCATCTTTTTAAGTAGTTCCAACCCGGTGTTATAATTTGACAAACTCAATCAGGTCAGTATTACACAGGTAATTTGCTTTGACTTCAAAAGGTTTAATTAAGTTGAACCAATTTAATATTTATATGAAAGTTGTGGTGATATTAAGTGGTCAAATTATTTTATTCAAGATATTCTAATTTATTTATTTTTGTTCAGTCCTACTCAAAAATCATAAATGCTTATCCTCTAACCCCATGAATCATTTTTTAGAGTGTATACATCCTATTTTAACACACGGAGTTCAAATGAGAGGAAATTTACATTGAGGGTGGAAATCTGGGAAATTGAAAGATGGTGGACAAAATAATTTGACTGTTTTTGAGGCCCAACCTGAAACAATAAAGGGGACAGTGAATGTGAGACAGTATGAAGCAAAGCTGAGCTGCAGCAGTAAAGAAAATCTTGAAATAACTGGACTCAATATGAGAAAACTCATGTTGAGATTCACAGAAAGACAAAGAAACAGAGATGAACATTTATTTAATTGAATAATAACCAAGCAATTAAATATATGTTCATTGGACAATAGTGTGGTGTGCAAACTCTGTTTCTCCGTCTTTTACACGACCCCTCGTCCAGCACGTCGTGTTCATCGGCTGGATGTGTGTACATTTATAATCCTTTTTGAGAATTACACATAAAGCTGAAGCTATCAGTTTCCTTGTCCCCAAAATACTTCTACTTTGGAATACCCTCTTCTTAAACTGGTCAGCACCTAAATATACACACACCTCACCAGGACTTCAGACACTGCCGCATCAAGTTAAACATTTCTGTATATATTAGATAATACTCACCTGTCGCCATGTCATTTGAGAAAAAAGGCTGTTCCAGTTTCCCAGAAGGTCCATTGTTGCTGTGAGCTGAAGTCAAGAGACGCTGGACTGAAGTGCATTTTCCAATTATTGGGAGGCTGTAACCAGGTTGTGTAACAGCTGAAACGCCGTCATTAGTCGCAGATAGCCTTGACTGTAACTATTCAAGATGATAGGGAGCTTAATATGTTACTTATTAATCTAATATGTGCTCTATTATTCCATCAGGCTCACTGTGAGCCAGTCATTCAAAAGTAAATTATGCTGATCTTTGCTTCAGTTTGTTTAAAATGTGTGGTTGACCTGCATTGAGTTTGTAATTCCCACTCCTCACATTGATTCAGACATTTCTTCAGAGTCAATTTCAGAAGCTGAAATGCAAAGAAACCAACAGCGACGCTGCTTGTTTTTCAGAGCGGAAAATTATTTGTCCCTACAGATCCAATTAGTGCAGGTGGCCTCGGTTTAATGTAGGTGTAGTATTTGGAATATCACAGTGATAGTTTGTGTTAGTGATGCTGAGAGTTCTGATGTGTGCAAGTAGAATAAAATTTACATATACATGTAAACTGTTTTTATTCAAAATCCAGGTTCTGTATAAGCGAGGAAATCCAGTTCCAGATATTTCTAACTGTGACATTTTTTGTTGCTAATTAATTGCTCATAATCTTTCACATATAAATAAGATTCGCCATGAGATTCGTCAAGGTCGACTGTGAGGATTTAGGGGCATCTGTTGGCAGAAATGGTGTATAATATTCATACCTATGTTTTCTTTTGTGTATAATAACAGGAAAACTTTTTATCCTAGAATAAGCCGTTTATATCTACATACTGAGCAGGGGTCCATCCCAAGTCTCTTTAATTACTGCTAGTTATCTTACCTAGCTGACTTTGCTAGCTGTTTAGCCCCTCCCACCTAGGCAAAAATGCGAGGAGCTAGCGCTAGGAGCGATGAGCGAGCATTGTCGGTTTAAGAGACATGAGACGTCCTTTCCACTGAAGCGTCACGTGAAGTGACGTCTATTCCTGATGATGGTGGCACAGCTGGATCTGCTGCATAACGGAGCCAGCGTTTGGCATACATCCCAAGTCACATTATATTCGCTGATCAAAGCTGTAACCCCCCCGCCGTCATGACTTTGGTCACACAGTTTTGCATGTATTACCATTGTTATTGAGTCATTTCTGCTCACCATCATTCAACAAGTCAGCTGCTGATTGAATAAGACATATCAGACCTGTCAGTCTGCCTCAATCAATCAGTTTTATTTATAAAGCCCAATATCACAAATCACAGTTTGCCTCACAGGGCTTTACAGCATACCACATCCCTCTGTCCTTAAGACCCTCACAGCTGATCAGGAAAAACTCCCCAAAAACCCTTTAATGGGGAAAAACGGTAGAAACCTCAGGAAGAGCAACTGAGGAGGGATCCCTCTTCCAGGACGGACAGACGTGCAATAGATGTCGTACAGAACAGATCAGCATGATAAATTAACAGTAATCCGTATGACACAATGAGACAGAAAGAGAGACAGAGACAGAGCGAGAGAGAGAGGCAGGACAGTAGCTTACAACAACATTAATGAAAGTAATAATATTAATTAATATTAATATTAATAGGCTAATTAATATTACCTACAAGCTATTAAACATTCCACTCACATGACATGTAGGACAATTAATGATGGGCAAATGTGTTTGTGTGTGTGTTCAACACGTGTGGTTCTGGACATGAGCAGCTGCACATTTAACAGCCACACATCACCGACAGTCCGCTGAACAACGCAACAGGTTGTGAATGAAATAAACTTAATTACAACATGACAGTCTTGCACGAAATATCATTAACGTTACTCTTTGTAGTCACTTATACATGTGAATTACAGCGTTTCATTGCAAAGAATGCATGTAGCGGGTACACTAGCGCTGTTTCTCTGCAATCTCGTTCAAATGAGACAGACGTAGGGGGCGGGTATTTATACGTCATGGCGTTCAGCTGAAAAACTCTTCCGGATAGGAAGCTCTCGACCATCCTAGCTTGTAGCTGCTTAAAGCTTGCTGCTAGCTCCTAGCGCTAGCTCCTCGCTGCACAAATAAGAGACTTGGGACGGCCTAGAAGATGGCGGACCTCGAACGACTTCCGGTTCAAGCGAGGAGCTAGCAGTAGCACTATAAAAATACGAGACTTGGGACGGACCCCGGGTCCTCTTCCACAGTCAGCCATGTTGTTTCTACAGTAGCCCAGAAAGGACAAACAAAACACTGGCTCTAGATAGGGCCACTTGTGTGCTTGCATTTTTGCATCAGCTACCGTAGTTCTCCGACACATTTGGTGCACACTAAAAATGTACGTATGGACACAAGCCAAAAATGGTGTGTGCCAAAAAATATTCAACAATATTTCTACAACCAGGTTTCCACCTTACCATCTGCATGGCCATTTTCCTGTCTCCAAAATGTTTGTTTGCATGGGTTACAGTTTCTCCAATCAAGTCTGTTTTTACACCTTTTGCGTGGGAAGTGGTGTACACTTCTGTCAAGCCTCGTTTTGTGCGTATGCAATACTTATAAATGAGACTTTTTCCCTTGGAGGGCCAAAACTGAAACTTAATGTTGGGCCACGAGCCAAAAGCAAATGCCTAAGCTGCAAAATGGTACATTGATACTAGTTCCCTTAAGGCCTGGACATACTTTACACATTATACAGTACGTCCATGAACAGCTGCTGCCACACGCATTCCTGTCCTATTCGTAGTACAACTGAGGGTCTGTGTCACCCCCAGCAGTAGATGGGAGGGCAGGGAGGTGAGCTTACTGTCCTCCCATCTACTGCCAACACTGGGTGAAACTGAAACTAAGAAGATGCTGCTGGACGAACTTGGACTTCTTGAACGAACTGTTCACCCGCCTCACAGACAGAAGGCTGCACAGCCTCAAAGCCAAAACAACAAGGCTGCAGCTTCTTCCCAGAGGCTGTGAGCCTTTTGAACCTTCTGGCTTAAAGCATGTCCTCTGCACTTTGTACTGCTGCGACTGCATGCGGCTGATGATGCACTATTGTGCACTTTAACATGCTGCTGTGTTCTATTAATTATAGGGTTTTATGTTATCTCATCATTTATTATAGGTCTATCTTACAATGTTTTGTATTCTGTATGCTGCTGGACCTGGGTAATGAATTTTGTTCCCTCATGTTTTTAACATGTTTGAATGACAACTGAACCGCGAACCTTGAAACTAACCGCAGTGTTTTGGATTGGACAGGAGTGTGGAACATGAGATTAGAGCAGTGGGTGCTAATAATCAGGGATCCTACTATCTGAAGAAACATTGTAAACAAAAATAAAGCGTTGTAAACACCAATTTATATTACAATATTAAAAAATTATTTTTAAAAACATTTTCACCAGAAACAACCCTCAGGCCAAGTTGAACTTTGACCTGTGGGTTCAAATTTGGGCAACCCTGCACTAGACCTTTAAGTGCCTTTTTCAGGTTAGTCTCGCCACCAGACAATCAGAGATCTCCGGCTTCTGATAGTCTGGGGACACTCCTTTCTAAAGTGTGTTTAACACACTGGAGAAAACGGCTGGCAACAAAGCAACGCCTCTTGCATTTTTTAAAAGGACACGCCCTCCCGGAAATGTGCGCTCCCCTTTTTCTCGTCCGCAAGGAAACAAACACACAGAGAGCTTGAAAATGGATGCCGAGAGATTTAACTCTGTTTTATCAAACGTGTGCTCAGTCCACAAGATTGTGGAAATGAAGGACTTACAGCGACTTTATTTAAAACTTTTAATGCAGTCGGACTATGATTACGAGCACAAGAGTTCAGTGAGCCACCGAAGGACTCATAATCTTTCACATATATGTGTGAAAACCTGCGGTTTTACTATTGGTTCTGCAACGTAGGGAGTTTTTTTAAACTCTGAAATTGTATCCGCCCATCTAAACACAAAATCAGGGAGAAAGACATCAGTCTTTAGTTAAGCAAAGCGTCTAAAGACTGACTTGTGAGTCTATTTTCAGGTAGGCATCTTTTTTATGAGCTCATGTAAATAAAAAATCCTCATGAGTACACTTCAGACCCGAAAACATGATAAATAAAAACATGAAATAAACATTTTGGAACAATTTGGACACTCATGCTGTGAGGCGACAATGCTAACCACTGCACCAAGGTCCCGCTGTTCCCTTCATGACCTGATGAACCCCACATTGCTGTAGCCTACATGGATTACATGATGGCCCTTTATAGCCAGATTTTACTGAGAGTTTGGTTTTTGAAACCCTTTTTTAGAGTGTGTATTTCAAAATCTTTTTTTAAGTAAATAAAAGCAACATAACGAATAATTCACCACATAAAAATATTTGAGAACAGTCTAAGAATACAAAATGCTACCAGTGCAAGAATCAGACAGCAGGATGGTGTGTTTGTGTGTGTTTCCACATGCAGAGGTATTAAGAGTAGATGATGAGGAGGGCGTAGCTGCAGTGATTTAGGGGCCCCGCTAGGCAAGATGATAAAAAGGCCCCGTGGAGCCTGTAAGGGAGGGAAAGACCCACAAACAGGCTCCATTCAGTGTGACTGTGTCCCACTTTACTGCCTACACAGAAAGATGGCGTCTGAGGTCTCGTTTCTATCTCTTCCTGTTTCCTTCGCTCTTTGAAGAAATTGTCTTCGCCTTAAAGTTGTGAGAGAAGAATCGATGTCCCTTCCCTTCCCTCCCCTCCACCCCTCGCCTCCCCTCTCCCTCTGCCCTGTGGTGGGGTGGTTATTGAGATCACGGTGTGTCTGAGTGGCAGCGATAACCGGTACCCAGGTGCCACTGGCACATGGTGTTTAATTAATTAATGAGACCGCAGGGTTGGTTTTCTAATTCCACCTAGCCAGCACCGGGGTGTGGGGGAGATAGCTGCGAAATGTTTAGGTGTGTGTTTTCAGGCGAGGAAAGGAAAGATGTATGTGGGAGTGTGTGCGTGTTATGGGTGTATATCTATTTTGTTGGCAGTTTGGGAGCTGGTTTCCTTGTTAGTGTAATATTAAATATGTATGGA